GTTAAAAAAAAAATGTCTCTGGAACTGCAACCCTTCAGCTTTTTCATCAGCTCTGGCTACCTATAACCCAGCATCCCATAAGCTGCTCTCCACCAATCATTCAGCCTGATGTGGGCAGGAACAAGCACTAGATCACAATTGTTCTTCATTGCTTCAAAATGAGATCCTGGCCATCCTTCCACATTTCAGAGGAGAGAGTTAAAACGCAAGGTGGGATCAGTAGAAGATGACAGAAAAGGCTCTGTGAACCACCAGAAGATCAATGACTGAGGAGCTGCCCTACCTCTCCCCAGAGATGCAGGCTGCCTGCATTCTCCACACGAGCAAAGCACTCTGCCTAGCTTTACATATGTCCTGGTTTCTAAAAAAATGACTTTTGGTGGTGAAAACTTTTTCAGTATTTCAAATCAGCCTTTAATGTACAAGACTTTACCTACACCACCAACATTTATGTTTTGAGATTAAAAATGAAGTCTTACAATCTAGGATGCAAATATTGTTGTTAACCGTCTCTTTTTCATATCACCTTTCAAAGTGTTGAACTAAAACACTTTTTCTAATTTACTATTTTTCAGCTCTCTTCTCCAAAGACTAAACTGAAACAGAATCAGAACTCAATTCAAATTAATTGTTTCCCAACTAAGCTTAATTCTTTCCTCAATAGCAGGTTCACCAAAGTTACGTGAAAGAAAATATAATCCCCCATGTTTTCTAAATACAGCCATTTGACATCTTTCTATATTTGCAGGACCATGACACATCAGGTTAACCTTCACGCTCCCTCAGGACAGCCGCATGCTCCATCGCCCACCCTAGGCTCTGCTTAATCCCATGGACTGCTGTTCCAGGAAGCTTTTCTGGCAGGAACCATTTCTCAAAAAAAGTCCCACTAAACCAACATCATCAATACTGAAAAGCTATCAGGTTAGCTTGCTGAACGTGGTCATTCATACTTGTGGAGGAGGGAAAACAGGGGACAGAAGAGATGTTTGATTAGCTTACTTATATTACAAAATGGCACCCATAACTATTGCGGGTGCTCCTGCAGAAAAGTGCTTGTTTACCCTCTAATATAGCAGTGGATCCCTACCTAAGTGACCACTAATTTCCTCTAGAAGACAAGGAAAAAGTCAGCACTGGGGAAATCACACTAACCAGCCTGACCAGAAAGGGAACCAATGAAGGGATACAGTTTGATCAAAAATTGCAAGTACATCTGTTTTGTCACAGCTCTTAATTATCCAAAGATGGAATAACCCAGACAGCATTATTGAAATGCATTATTACCAACCCAAAGGAAAACAGAACTGCCTACTCTTCTGCAAATTTCATTCACCCAGAACCTTGGAGTCTGGACTAAAAGCACTCTATAAACACTGATAGTTGGCAGTGAACATCCACTAGACAACAAGCACAAGCTTATGATCTCTGGAAGCGGATCTTGAGATAGAAAAAGTGTTTCACCTATCCTAATACAAGTATTCATGTATAAACTTGCATTGGAAAATGGTGCTTATCTTCAGAAGCAGAGAGAATTCTCAGACTCTCACACCTAGTTAATTGTGATACTGCAAAAATTACTTAGAAAGGCAAATACTCAAAATGAAACACTACAAATTGGACATGCCACAGCGCTATGAATTATCAACATGCAAGTAAAAGCAAGAAACAAGTTAGGCTTCTCCAGCAAATTCTTTAAATAGCCGATTTACTTTGAAAGCAGAGTAGGGACAATACTGCAGCTTTTTCTCATGTTCCATTTTTCAGGGGGAAATTACAAAACCAACAGATACAGATCAAGAGATGACCAAAGAAAATAGTGTCAGAGATGTACATGATTTCATAAAATTGTTTAGAGTAAAACAGCTTGAGATTAAACACATACTATAATATGCAATATACTACCCTGCCAAGGGTCACGTTCACAACCAAAATGTTTAAGAGTTCACTTTTAAAACCCACATTCAAAGAGGATTAGTCTGGAGTATAATCAAGAGAAAACCCTCTAGAGTTTCACACAAGGTCACCACTTGGAAGGTGGTTAATTTTGTTGACTACATTGTATGCATGTAAGTTGATGACATTTTAGCTACTTGATATTTGCCAATTTCTCATTGCAAGAGATTCCTTCTCTTATGACATTGCACAGGAAACATCATCTCTTTTCCTTGGACAAGGCTATGCTCATGTAGAATTTCATCTAGTTTATCCAATAGAAACAATAGAAAAGACTGAACTGTACAAATGATCACACCCAAGCCCTGGAGGATGACCCCAAATTTCTCAGTCTCTCTGTTTTGAGCACAAAGTTAAATCCACCTGTACACACCAAACTGGCATACCTCATGAAATACCCATCTTAAACATTGTGCGTTATCAGTTCTAAGGACTGAACCAACAATGAGTTTGTGATATCCAGTAGCATGCTTCACACCACATTTAATAGCTCAGGGAATCATAGGATGATTTAGGTTAAAGAGAGCCTCAGAGGTCACAGCTACCTCTTAAAGATGAAAACAAACAGCTCCAAAAGCAGAACCGTTCACCACAGATGAAGGAGAACTCTGTATAGATATCCTTATCTTCCTAAGAGAGGGTTATTAAGATTTTCCCACTTACAATGCTATACAATGAATTAAATCCAAGCAGTTTCTTTTCTGTGTATGCTATCAATTCTTTCACTTTAAATAGCCCTATAATGCTAACATTTTATCCCTTCTGTTTAAAAATAAGTAGAATCTTTTATTCTTCAAATGCTGCATTTCAGCAAAGTGCAACAAAGTAAAAAAAAACAAACCAAAATCAACCAAATAACAGTTTCAAGATTTTGAGTGCCAACTTAAAAATGAAACCATGTTTTAGGGTTTCAACTGTTCAACCTTCACTAGAGTCACATCTCTGCTCCTATGCTCAAAAGGGAGGAAGTAGGAAGGGGAAAAGAAGCAAAACCAAACCCCAGCTGAATCCATCACTCCAGCAGTGAAAACAAATGCATCCAGAGATGGACAAAAGCACGCCACACTTGTCATAGCCATACATATGTATAAGGCACAGACAAAAGTGCTTCTCTGACCTGAAGCCTACTTTTCATCTCTCTTGAAGACAGCATTGGCTTTCATTGGTATTCGGCTTCTGTACACACATGCCTCAACTGCAACCTGTTTTGTACAATTCTTTCCTTGCATCCTGCTACTAATATCTCCTTGGTTCCCCAAAAGGTTGCTTTTGTGAAGCACCCCACCAAACATCCACTTCAACAAAATAATCATTGTATTAAAATATATAAAAAAAATAAATTCTCAAAACATCTACCCAAAATGTCTTTTTTCCACTCACAGATTGCATGAGGCACATGCAAGAAAGTAATTAGAAAATACACTAACTTTGACCACAAATAAACATTGCAAGCATTTTCAATAAAAACACTCCTCATTTTAAAAGCAGCATGACATTGCTGAAATGACAACTCATTTCCTTGGTTTCTCTGCTACAAACACACAACCAGTATTTTAAGTGACAGTCAGTGGCAACACACCTAATGCAACCTACATCATAACATTCTGCAAAGTTTCACACACTTTAAGTTGCCACAGCAACAAGAAGTTGATTTACTACTGTTCACTAAAACAGAGAAGGATTTATTCACCAGAAGTTTCAAAGCATGCAGCTGCCTGGATTTTCTATGAACATTGAACTTCCTTTCTGCCCCCATTACCTGCTCAAATGAACAGGGTTATATAAAATGTTTTTTCTACTTTCAGGGGGAAGGATGCTACTTCAAATTAAAACATTGCATTTCAACTGTTCTACTTCAGATAATACAGCAATGAGTGCTGTGGTACCCCCACAGGAGGTGTACAGCCCCTTCTTTATGTGCTTCAAGTGTCCTGTGGTTATCTCTCATGGTACAAAAGAGTCAGGTTACTCTGTTTCTGGGAAGTGTCTCCACATGCCCAGAGAGTTTCAATAAGCTAAGGCACTACCACAAAAATCAAGCCTGTACTACTAATGACCAAAGCCTAACATCCAGCATCAGAATGAGCTGCTACAGTAGCTGCCCCTAAAACCTTCCCTCTTGACATCTACAAGAGATACTAGATTATATTTTGCTCTTTACACACGGAAAGTCAGCCAGTTCCTAAGTAACTCTCGGGTCATCTACTGCTTGCCTTGTTTGTCAGTTTGTCAATCCGTGACCCAGAAATGATGACACCTACACTTGTCAATTTCTTAATCTAAAAGCTCTGCATAGGAGCTAGGAGTTAGTTGTTTTAAGTTCAGGTGGAAAGGTGCTTATAAAAATTTTATAAGCTATTATGGTATTATAGTGTCTACAGCGTAACATCATACATTGGGAAATTTCATAACCATGCTATACTCTTCTTTTCCCACTGACATGCCATACTTAAGTTCTGCCACAAAAGACGTGTCCATTTAACAGCCCTCCAGCTGTTAGATCTAACGTAAACAAACCTTTCCCCTGACCTACCTTTAGCCTTGCTTAAGCAACCTGAAAAACCTTAGAGGGGACCTCAGGACGCCACAGCCACCTGGTTTAAAGGCAGTGAAACAAGCAGATCACCCGGCTGGAGGCTGAGAGCACCGTTCCCAGGAGGTTACGCTCTCCCTCCTCTCCTGCCAGGGACCGGGTCCGTGGCGGCCACAAGCAGGTGCTCAGGCCCAGCCGGGTGCCGACGCCCGAGGGCAAGGCTTCCCGCAGGGCCGCTACGCCTCAAGCACACCCTGAACTGTACGGGCCGGTGCCTCAGGGCTCTGCCTCCAGCCACAGCACCGGGCACAGCCCGGCCTGCCCCGAGCGCCGGTAAGGGCTTCGCTAGAGGCGAGGGGGGAGGGGACACGACACGGGGACACGGCGCCGCCAAAGACTCCCCTCAGCGCCAGGCCCCGCAGGCCCTGCCGGCCGGGGACAGGCCCCGGTGGTTCCCGGCACCCCAACCACCCCACTCTTCCTCTGCCCCCTTCCCTCCCCGCCGCCTTACCCGGGATGGCCAGGTTGGAGAGGGGGTAGGAGCGCAGCGCCGCCGGCAGCGAGCCCATCCAGTCCGCGTTGCTCTCCGCCATGGCCCCCGCGGCCGCCCACCGTCGCCGCCGACGGCCGCCCTCCCTCCCGGCCGGCGGCCTCATCCCCGGCCTAGGAGAGCCGAGTGGGGCCGCAGGGGCGGG